ATATGTGTAAATTGCTTTGGGCAGTATTGATATTTTCACAATGTTAAGTCTTCCTATCCAGAAGCATGGTGCATTCTTCCATTTTTGTAAGTCTCTTTTGGTTTCTTGCAGGAGTGCTTTGTAGTTACCTTTGTATAAGTCCTTTGTTTCTCTGGTTATATTTATTCCAATATATTTCATCCTTTGTGTGGCTATTGTGAATGGTATTGCTATAAGACTTCAAACCTTTAAACTATTCCTATCTCTGTGGGTCCAAGTTTTGGAGCTCTGTCCTGCCTCTTTTTTGCCTGGAATTCTGAGTTATTGCTGACGGCAACCTTGACTACACCTCCACCTTAGCCGCCATCAAGCCCCAGTAATGATTTTTTAAAGGAACTTTTACTTTCCTTCGAGTATCGGTCCAAATTTTGTTTGCAGATGTTTATGCTCTTCAATGAGTTGTTTTAGTACCCATCTAGCACAAACTTTTCGAAACCCAAGTCTGTCATGGATTATCTCATAGGAAGAGCCATGGTTGATTTGCAAATTATTTGCCACATAATACACTGTCACTCATCTATTCGATAGAATCATTTCATATTCAATGTTGTCACCAGCCATGGATGTGGATGGGTGTTTTAATATAACTGGAATGTGAATAATTTTTGACTCACCTGCATATATGATTTGTTTAATGTAAAACTGATGATATTACCTTTAATGTATGCCTTCACTCAATTCACAATAAAAAAGTAGTAAAAAGAAAGAAAATAGTATTTTAAATAACATAAGTATCCTCTAAATGTCCAATTAGGTTTCTGAGACTAAGGAAAATCCATAGGACTTTAAAAAATGAGGGACATGAAAATCAGTATAATAGTTTAAACTGACACATGGCTGTTATAAAGGCAATTACTAACAGATACTTCGGCTTTAATAGCATGAAAAAGCATAGACGGTAGTTCTTTATTCCTGGCTTGAAGGAGAGTCAGAACAAATGTCACTGCATGAAATCAGAGTGCTAGAGAAGCTTTACATATTCTATGTGAAGAGATGTATTAAAAATTAGTTGCTACCCTCCAGCAAACAAATATAAGGTAACTTATCTGTTTAAAACTCAGCTCCAGATAGAAAAGATTGAAAATATTTCAAGTTGAAAAAATAATGGTAAGTGGTCTTAAATTCTACTACCTTGAGATGACTAGCATAAGTAAATATAAATCTTTCTATGAGCAGCAGCTATGAGAAATAAAGAGATAAACAGAATGTGAAATAACTATGTATAAAAAGTATAAAAAGAGGAAATTGAAACATAAAGAAGGAAAACAGTAGTATAAAAAATGAACAAAACCAAATACACTTTGTACAAATAAAAAACATAATAATTCAATTAAAACTTAACTTTAAAATGAAAATTATTCAGTGGGGACTCTTTCTTCCCCATACACTGTTAAACTAACCCCCACCCTCCCTTGAAACCTTGTAAGCCAGTGACTTTGTGCCTTTATCACCCCTCATTTTAGGTAGCCAATGTCTAAGTTGCCTATACCTATCTACTATCTACCCTGTGTACACAGGGTGCCAGGGACTTGCCTCAACATAGTTGTATTGTTCACGAGTGTTTGGTTCACGAGGAGGGGAGATCCAGCGGCAATAGGGATAGCGAAAGAATACACAGACAAACAGAAGAAGGGAGACAATGAGGCACCCCAAAGCCAGGGTGGATACATCACTGGTGGGCTGACTTG